GAAAAAATCAGCGTTACGTGATATGTAAGAGAGGCGTTTTCCATTCTAGTGTAAGCGTGACCCCTCCCCGGGAGTATGATATCTACAAAGCTATTTCAGAGATAAACCTGAACATTTGTTCTTGCAAGACACGGTTTGTTGATGAATATCGTTTTATTTGCTGCTTTAATTACACAGTTGAATCTGGTAGTCCCCGATATCACTGATAGTATATCTAGTCGTTTCGGCGGATCCTCATTGCACTCTGCTTGAACTCTGTACTTGAGTCACAACACGTTCCGTACGAGAGTACCAATGGTTAAATAAATTCTTTTACTTTATTAGTAAAAGATATATTGTTGATTCTGCAATTTTACATTAATAGAGCAGTATGAAAGATTAATGAAGCATTCAGTGAAGATGCAGTGCATATTTGAACAGAGCTTATGCTGCAACTGCAACAGCATGCCACACCTCTGTTAACGAGGTATTTCAGAGGGACAGTGTTGAACTGAGTCACAGATTAACAGAGGTCGACCACTGGGACTCTGAGAAAACTGTCAGAAGAGCTCACGGACCGATGACTGGCTTCTTTTGATAAAACCTCGCAAGATAAGGATCACCTACTGTCAGGAACCACCTTTGAGGAAGACATAAAACAGAACCGACTAATGATGTATACATACCCCCATGCATGCATATTCAGGCGTGCATGCCAATAGGAATATGATCTCTGCAGCAGCAGCTAAGCCTTATTCTAATATGAATTTGAGGCACAATGTCTAACGGCTAGACACAATTAATTGGGTTTCTGTATCGCTGAAGCATTGTTGATTCTTAGATGATCATTTCTATTTCAGAAGAGACGTTTACAGTTTGAACCGTGTCTACAGTCAAAGTTGAATGAGACTTATCTGAATGAATCCGTATTAACGGTGGAGATTGCCAAAAAGATGTGTTTTCGCCATTACTATTCAGCATTATTCTCGACTTTCTTTTCTGAAATAGTACTGACGGTAGCAAAGACGATGGGCTCATTCTAGCGCGAAGGGGCAGTTCAAGATACCCGGTTAGATGTCGGGCTGACCTGTAGTACGCAGACGATATTATTCTGGTAGTAGTAATGGAAACGGGCTTTGTCATCTGGCGTCTTCCGTTTGCAACACATGTGCTTAACCGTCCTCTCCCTTAACACTCATCATCAGACACAGCTGATCTGCGACTGGAAGAGGCACTTGAGGAGGTTCACTTATGAGCCAGCGATTGCGCCGTCCAGTCAGAATTAAATATGAGGATCGCTCTAGCCTCGAATACCGCCTTGGAAACCTACCTGATGCTTACGATGGCAGCGAAGTATCACAAAAATCTGTCTGTATCTTGCCTCTATCAGGCCACTGTTGTTGTACGGCATGAGGAGCAGTTGTTCTAACGAAGGACGAATAACGGTGATTGAACTGCGTGCAACCTTGGCTTTCACTCATAATGAGGGTTAAATGGCAGGACCACGTGATGGATTAAACTGGAGGTTGACCCTATTAGACAATGTGGTTGGGCAAGAACCGTTTACCCCAGCCCATTAGCTTTTCGCCTAGGGGCTGAGGTACGACAGAAGTCGACCAGGCAGCCACCGTACAACAGGAAGGAACCAGCTAGAGGCAGATCTGCTTTCCTAAAGGTATATTTCTCTCCGCAATACAATAACCGTTGCTCTGTAGCAACGTATTGCAAAGTTACAAATGCGACTGTGATACTAAACTAGAGTCTTGTTGCTTATGTAAAAGGTTGAACGTCATGGTGTCAGTAAACACAGTGTTGAATGAATGATGCGACACACATGTCAGAGATGCCTGAATTGGTGACACTGACTTATTTTCCTCACACTGGACATCGAAGTGTCTGTTTTGTCCATATTTTAAAATACGAGTTTAATTTTGTGGCAGCTCATCCTTTGCGTTTTTCAGGTTCGAAACTTAGGCCCGACCACTTTCTCCGAGGCATCGCTCGACATTTATTGGCCTAGTTTTTTCAAAGACACGGAAAAGCCGTTATTGTACCTCGTAAACGATATTCAGACGGAAGGCAGAATCACTTGTGAATTGATTCAGAAAGGAAACATAAACCCGGAAGGCTTGGTGAGTTTAAAACTCTCTACTTCGTTTTAAAATAACGTGGCTTACTAAGCTTATGGCTAATGATACTTATACATTGTTGTTGTTGTCATCGTCATGTGAGGTGTCACGATCAAGGACACACTGCCTAGATTAGTGGTCTGACTATATATTACTTTATAGTAATACAATTACTATAAATCACTATACATTACTTTATATATATACAATATGTGATGTATTTCTAATTTAATATATAACTTATATATTTAACTCTTAAGACTGTAAATCAGGTAAGTTGTGAATCGAGTTATTTCAAGATAACCGTTCACGGCTGAAGACGTTTGCTTAAAACATTTTTGTGAGAATGTGACGGTTAGTTTACGAATGTAAGTAAAGTAACGTCTCAATTTTATTCCCCAAACCAGAATAAGGCATTAAATATGCTGCCCGTTCAGGGTTATTACACTTTTGGGATTCGTTCTCCGACAATGTATATTGAAGTAAAGGTAGTTGCCTACGTTATTGTGAATTTCCTATGCAACAATTGATCATTAAATGCAGACAGACAAACTTACATAAGAATTACATATCCAAACCTGTGCGTATCACGAATTTTACGTAAGTCACATTTCACCAACCCCCAGCCGTTAATCACACCCTATTGTTTTTGTCTTTACAGTACGTGGATACAGTAGTACATTAGCATGTTTTGAAGCTTATTGCTGTTAGTGTTATTCACAGAATATACACGTACATTAGGATTCAATATGTAAAGTATTGAATATCGTATGGATGATGTAGGGTAAAGTAAATAATACAGAATAATATAATACAGTAATAGTGTGAAAAAGCAGAAAATTAACAGAAAACATTTAAATTTGCCATTTGACCCTTCACATTAAGTTATCAAGAGATAACTGAATATTGCAAAATGGCCAATTTCTTTCACATGTTCATTTATGCGTTCAGCTTCGTTTACAATTGCTTTCGCTCTTGATTATACGAGACTAAGATCATTTATTATGGACGTTGAGCTTCTTCCACCTCCATGCTTATTTAAAATTCACCGTCATTCGTAAAATCTCTAGAATACCTTTGTTGCGATTGTTCACTTTCTCTACTTCTGTTCATTCTTCCAGGTATGGTTGATAACTCTACACTACAAAATGAAAGTACACAGCACATCCGTATTCAATAGTAAACAAAGCGGAACTAGGGAAGGCCCACGGCTGTCTGCCTTGCGGAACATCTCTGTTAAGTGGCCTATGAGTAACTTCGGCGCGTTAAGTAAAATATCTTCATCCTCATCTTCTATGGCTGGTTCTCCTTTCGGATCGCGTAGGTAGACGCGTCACACGGTTTTTCCAACGTTCCCGATCCTGTGCCAGTGTCCGAGCTTCGGCAGCAGATAACTGGAGTCTGGAACAGACTCCTTCCATATGTTTGCGCCAGGTTAATCTTGGCCGTCCCCTGGGCCTTTTGCTGGTCAGATTTGCAATGAACAGTTGCTTAGCCTTCCTTTCTGGAGGCATTCGTACCACATGCCCAAGCCATCGCAGCTGTGACTTCTCAATCTGGAGAAGCAAAGGCTGTATTCCAAGGCTCT